AGAAATGTCCTAGTATGAAGGTGGCTATCAAGAATGAAGGACCCGTAAGTGTCGAAATCAAATCGACCCTTGCAGATGGACTCGCTGTCCCTACTATGGGGTATAACGCATTCCTCACTGCCAAAACAATCATGGACAAACTGGTAATATATTTTTATTATAACAACAAATATCATAACACGAATACGACGTATTCTTTATTTGTTAATTTCGCATAATATAACTATTCTATAATATTCTTATTTCGTCACGTTCCATAAAAAAGTTAAATTTAAAGAAATAACCGATGTATACTTATTTCACAGTTATATATTATAATAAATAGTATAATTGTATGGGTTATAACCATTACTGCGTGATCCGGGATGTGGTATATTTAATTTCATCAATATAACTCCGGAATTATATCGGATGTTTGATTACACTACATCAACCACATGAGCATGCATGGCAGAGAAACGCAGTAGATGCACTGTGTAACACGATGTACTATGTTCGTACTTATATTGTATATGAGGGCATATAGCACTTTTAAACTTATCCGTTGAAGTGCAATGAATACTTCATTTTAATACTAGCTGTCCCGGCAAACGTTGTTTTGCCATACAAATTAAAATCGGTATTTAAAAGTAGGGGTTGGTAGGTACTAAAATGGTGAAAATTTAGGGTTGTGTGTATTTTTAATGCAACAGTAAAAAAAAGGTCCAAAAATAAAAAAATAACTGTTCGGGATAGATAAACCTCATCACTTAGGGGCATTTAAAATTTCATAAACATCAGTCAAGCCGTTTCGGAGGAGTATGTTAACTAACATTGTGACAGGAGAATTTTACATACAGATGTACTTAGTGTATATCTACAAACCGCGATGAGTATAGTAATATTTATATATTGTATTTTGTATCCTGGGGTCAAATGTGAAAACTAATCAACAATAATATCAAACAGTAGGTGGTTAATGAGTGACTATCACTATTATACCTACATACAATCTGCTCCGTTTTATCACTATTGGCTACCTTACTTTTGTTGATTGTTTTAATTATTATAATCGTTTTGTGTGATGTCTTAATTACCTCCTAATTAGATAACATAATAAACAACTATAATTACCCCTAGTCGAGCTAGGATGTTATAAAGGTGCCAGAAAATAGAAATGGTTAAATTTCTTTACGTAAATTTATTTCTATATAGGATTTCCAATAAATTATATAGCCATTCTCTATGAGGACTATAATCAGGTAACCATAATACGTAATACGTTGATCTCAAATTTAAAAATCATTTCGGTATTCATGTAGGACATTTTAGCTGTTTATGAACACCAATATTTTATAAATTTTTATATATTATAATTTTTTACCTACCCTATCTATTGTGCTTGCCCTGTGTAAAGTTTGGTGCTGATTCATAGGACAGAAATTTTGTGATTATTTTGAGAGCCAACTTTTTGGCGGTTGGATAGAAAGTGTATTTTTAAAGGAGATGTAATTTATAGGTACCTACAGCTTTGCTTACAAATATTGGTTGTACTCTTAACAACATCATTGAAATTATCATTGAATAATAATTTCAATGATGTTGCCGGAAGTCGATGTTGACTGGTGGTAGAACCAAGTAGAACGAAATGTCATAGAGTTGTATGCACATAAATATCAAAATTATTTATGTCATGACATTTTGACATTTAATTCGACTTTGGACAATACAAATTATCATACATTATCTATTTCCTAAGACTACGAACCGGATTAAAGATAATGCAAGTTATTTTTATAAACAATTTGTAGAACTTTTCACTATCACTGTGATGTAGCAGCCGTGGCCCAACTTTCAGCGGTCGCGAATTTAAATTCAAATATTATTTATTTAAATAGACTTGTATACTAGCACTTTTTGATCGTCATCACCAATTTTACCTTACATATATAATATACATAACAATTGCTATAATAATTACTAACATAGATTTTAATGTATAAGACAAAGAGTATGTTATATATGTACATTTATTAGTACTCATAATATATCATTTTGTAGATAACAGTAAATGAAGATTGGCTTGCTCGAGCTATATTACGGCTGGTAGAGCAAGAGAAGTATGTGGTGGAAGGCGGTGGTGCTGTAGGTGTAGCGGCTATAATGGCAGGTCTTGTGCCAGAGCTCGCTAACAAAAAGTGAGTTAACCGTTAAAAAACGACTAATAATAATGAATTTGCCAAAGTACTTTGAAAATTATTAATTTTAAATGATTTCCTTTCATTTGAATTTATTTTTTACAATACTAACTAAATTATGTGAGAATATAACTATATTAAGTAGAGACCTACATGGTCCATAGCATATTATAGATGAAAGAATTTAAATCCTATCAAGTAGTTCAGTTCAGTCATTCATTGTGTTAAATTTCAATAGCTACTTTATTTAGTTTCATAAGCTATACTATATTACTTTCATAAGCTACTATATTACTCATTTTCCACTTGTTTGATTACTAATACTAAATTAAAAAGACAAGCCTATTTAATAATTTTGGCAGTTGATATCTCTGATAACAGTCGTAAAAAAATTATTATTATTTTATAGCTTGTGTGTAGTGCATAAACAGGTAGCACTAACATTTCAGAGTAGTGTGCATTCTATCCGGTGGTAATATCGATACCACGATCTTAGGACGGTGTCTGGAACGCGGCCTTGCAGCTGAACAGAGATTAGTGAAATTCAAAGTAACAGTCAGTGACCGACCGGGCGGTATCGCAGAGCTGTGCAAGATGATCGCCTCTATAGGAGTCTCCATAAAAGACATTATGCAAGAACGTGCATGGGTTTACGGCGATATTTTTAGTGTTCAGGTGTGTGTCTAGTTACTATGAAACTACCGAATTAGTATTCTTTTTTAGAATAGAATATAATAGAAAATCCTTTATTGATATAAACTCAATTTATGCACTATTGAATAGTCATCACATCACTTTTTTAATCTACCGCTCATTCGATAAGCTGTCTCAACACAAGAAGAATCAGAAAGGAACTTGCGTGTTTCTCTTTTAAATAGTCGTTGTAATTTTACATTTTTAAGTCGAAATGTGTGAATAGAAACTACCGCTTACCTAGCACTAATTTTATTCCTGTGGGTACTCCAGACTTTTGTAGGGTTACCCATACTAAACAGCTGCCAATAAGTAATTTATTTATATTTACTCCCTCCATAAAATTCCTCCATACATTAATAGAATTGTTTTAATATAAAATTTAGTCTAATTTAAACTATTAGGTATATTATTTAAATTAAGAATATGTATGTAATACCTATTAATATACATACAGGAGTAATAAAACATAGCCGTTTATATTAATAATAATAAATTAAATCATACACAGATATTAGTGCAAATAGATCATGAATTAATTATTACATTTTATCTAAATTTCAGGTAAAAGTAGTGTGCGAGACCCGAGGACCAGAACACAAAAAGGAACTGCGAGCATTAATCTCAAATTTATATAAGGAATGGTACTTTGCAGGAGACTACGACGAAAGGTTACGAAGGATTTCAAATGTTACTGAAAGCGATGTGGCATAGTATATACCTATAATATTGTATAATAATTATAACCCGTTAATTATACCTAAACTATATGAATAATGATTTCATTGGACAATTCACACAACGCCATATACCTAGTCCCAAGCTAAGCACAGCTTGTGTTATGGGTACTGGACAACTAATATAAGCACTTATATACACTTTTTTGTAAAATAAAACATAGGTACATAGCACGACACGTTGGTGCTTACTCACAGGAATTAGGTTTAAAATAATTTCTTCTCAATCGCGTAATAATAATTAAATAATGTATATTTAAGATATACGTGTAAGTTATTTGTGTAAGTTAAAGTTAACAATTTTGAAAATTATATAAATAATAATAAGTTTTGCATTTTTATTTTGAGTTGCACACATTTCCTGTTTATATATAAGTTTTATACAAGGTATTTTTTTATTTTTTTCTTAATATTGTTATAATATTCTTAATTACTCTTTATATAAAAATGTCTGATCTGACCTCTATGCAATTAAAAATCAATAAATAAAATTAGTGAATGCATTCCTTCATAGTTATGATGTTATAAGAATTAAAAATGAAAATCATTTCTGACGAAATCTTGTTGTTTGTCATCCAGTAGTAATCATAGTATGTATCTAATAATAATAATTACGTCTCATCACACAGCGCCATCTAGTCCAAAACTAAACAGAGCGATGTGTCATCAGCAAACAATACAATGTCAAGTATGTTTTGAAACCATACCAGTTTCATACGGTAGATTTGACATATCATAAGAGCCTGTAATAGACCTACATGAATAAAGATATTTTGAATTTGAATTTGAATTTGTGTTATGGGTACTAGACAAATGATATAAAGATAAATACCCAAATAATATAACTCATTAATAAAAATGAATATTATCCGAGGAAAAGAACCCGCAACCATCTGAATTAGAGTGGTATAGTAAACAACTAGTCTACCGAGACTGTCCATATATGTATATATACACATATAGTAATATAACTGGAGTGGCTTACCAAATATCCAAATATCGTAAGCGGTGGAGGCGGAAGCAGATACGGGTATTACACACTGGAAGGGATCAGGCGAGTAGGTACACAACACGACACGAACACTTTGGACACTATTATTTACAATTTATGGAATACGTATATGACATACACTTTTTCAATTTTTTTTTGAGAGTGACAATAAACAAGGAGGGTAGCTCTAGTAACCACTCTAGTCATAGACTTTATACTAGCGCTATCCAACCTTAATATATAGTACCACTATATGCGTATATATACATATATGGACGGCATTTGCAATAATGTGTACTGGATATAAATGCAAAATAATAAGTACCTACAGAATATACCTAAGGTACATACCTCTTTGCTGTAACTAAAAATTTGGAAGTATAAAGAACTGACAGACTTAACTTTCGAACATCACAGTCACATATATCTCGACATGATTGCTTTATGAGTGCAAAATTCATATAAACTTTATTTATTGCAATATGAAAAATTATTAGTCAACCGTCTAAGTAAGCCATAATGAATGAGGTAATATAATAAATATTTGGTCCAATTTTAGTAATATGACTCTCACATGCATAACTGCATAAGGTTTGCTTTTCATATATTAAATCAAAGATATGTCGTAAATATAAATACGAGTATATAATAATAGATTGCCATGATAATCTTACGTATAAAAATCTCGTATCACAATGTTAGTTACCATACTACTTTGAAACGGCTTGACCGATGTTTATCACATTTTATATACATCTGCTATCTATTTTTTATGTATATAATTTTAATTTATAATATTAATTAATACTCCCTCCCACCTTAGTAGGTACTGTGAGTCTATAAATACGTCATTCTATTTACATGTTGTCAACGTTTGTGTATGTTTCTAAAGGACATAGAATTTGATGAATATTGCGACCCTTATAATCCAAGGAAAATAAAATATGACGATATATTGGCAGCATCGAGACGCATTGCGGGCGCCGTCATTCGAACACCCTGCACGGTAAGAATACAACTGACAATAGTGCAGTGTACTACCTATTCCACTCCTAAAGAGTTTTTTACACCTAATTAAAATGGCAAACAAGGTGACGGCCCATTGTTGATGGTAAGTGGTTATGAATAAATAAAAGCAAGCAAACATCAGATCATCATGTGACACCACTCAATCATTATCGGAAGACTAAGATGTTATCCTACAATTTTACTGCCTTCTCTCAAACTAGAACTAAAACACATCTTGGTATGCAAACTACAAGGAGGTTGAAATAGGTGAGGCAAGGTATCTACGCAGACTACGTTGTAGAATGTCTGCTTCGGTGGAAAGTTAGCAAGTTTAGTCAAGTTACGAATAATAAATATAAATTAATACACCAATTACTTAATAAAGTAACAATAGCTTAATAAAAAAGTAACATTTAATTTATTTAAATATCTATTATAATAAAAAAATATTATATGTGATCATTATGCGAAGCATATTTTTTTTCAACTATTATAGATAGAATACACAGATTGAACATGCTTACAATGAATATTTTCTATTTTAGAAAGCCCACATGGCAGAACGATTGGGTATGGATTTATATTTGAAACAAGAATTCATGCAGTACACAGGAAGGTAAAATTAAAGTACAATAAATGTACATACAATTTTTTTAGCTTTTTTAGATTTTTTACCTTTAGGCCATTTTATTTTCTAAACATTATCGTTGACTAAGAAATTTACACTTAGTAGAATATATTATTTTTTTATTAACATTTTTGGCAGCTTCAAAGAGCGCGGAGTTCGCAACACACTTTTACTATTATCTGATGAGCAAAAAAAATTTGGCGTAATAACTGCTACGACCGGCAACCACGGGATAGCTATGAGCTACCACGCTTCGCAACTTGGAATACCTTGCGTCATCGTCGCGCCAGTATATGCACCCCTCAATAAAGTTACTAAGTGCGAACAGATGGGAGCAAAACTCATACTATATGGCACCAATATATGGGAATCAAAATTGCACGCTATGTCTATCAAGAAAGAGAAAAGGATGACATATATTAACGGGTACTTACATACTATAACTACCCTACTTAATGTTTACATTGCAGAGCAGAGATCTTGAAACTAAGCAATTTGGCGTAGCATTTCAAGATTTATTTCCTTTTTTTTATACTGTTGACATAAGCGTCTTTCCTTATATGAAAAGGAGTTCTGATATACATAGTTGTGCTACAGTGCTATATGTATTTGTGTCTGGAGATAAACGGTGTTTATAGAAATATAAACAAAATACCGTTATCGCGTGTACCATATGCGTTTATATCGTGCAAATGTTACTAATAAAGGGGCATTGTATTTATTTCTTCCTTACTTTGTTTCTGTGTCCTTCCTCCAAATTTAGTTCAATTTCTATGGATCGAACTGTATTTCAGTGTAGAGTACCTACTCTATTATTAGTTTGTGTCCTTGTATGTATTCTGTATAATAATTGATAAACTGCGTCAGTTTTCTTAAAACCGTTGTAGAAGATTTAATTGAATCCTTAGACATTAGATATTTATGTATTATTAGTTGCAAATAATTGTATTTAGTACTGTATTTTTTATTTAATCTATAGTTATGATCATCCAAATGTAATCGAAGGGCATGGGTCTATTGGAATAGAAATAATAGAGCAAGTGCCAGCTGTTGATGCAATAGTGGTACCCTGCGGTGGAGGAAGCTTATTATGCGGTATCGCTATTTCCGCCAAGCATTTAAAACCTGACACTGAAATTTACGTAAGTACCGCAATCTGAAAACGTAAAATAAAATGCAAGAATTGCAGAAAGTGACGCGATGCGTGTGTGATTGAAGCTTTATTGTCATGGTTCCGAATAATGTGATCTACTAATAATTGAATTCGAGGCCTGCATGTACAACCCTTATATATCTAATATTGCGCATAGAAAAATCTGAACAAGATACACATCTTCATCATCTCAGTCTCCACGTGATATTTTTCACTGTAAAGTAATTACCGCCTATATATACTAGATATATTACGTATTTTACCGTAATATATCTATAATACATATAAATAGTATCTGATATTCTATACATTAGTAAATCTTTATTGAAATTTCGACGTCATTCAGTGATATGGCATATATTAAGGTTGAATAGCGCTAATATAAAGTCTATGACTAGAGTGGTTACTAGGGCTACCCTCCTTGTTTATTGTCACTCTCAAAAAAAACTGAAAAAGTGTATGTCATATACGTATTACATAAATTGTAAATAATAGTGTCTAAAGTGTTCGTGTCGTGTTGTGTACCTACTCGCCTGATCCCTTCCAGTGTGTAATACCCGTATCTGCTTCCGTCTCCACCGCTTACGATATTTGGATATCTGGTAAGCCACTCTAGTTATATTAGGTTTTGGGCCCCACCGGAAGAAAAGAAAGGTTTATACCATGGATTTCTCTACAAAAATAGATATCGGGAAACTTGTGGGTAAGGAAAACTGGTCTACATGGAAATATCAAATTTCTATTATGCTAGAAGGTACGGTAGGTGCCTTAGATGCAGTAGAAGGAAAACTCCAAAAACCAGTTCTAGCTGCAGAAGCAGGTGATGCTGCAACAAGCGCCTATAATGATGCTATGGCTTTGTATAGGAGGACTCAGAGCGGCGCTCTGCTAATGCTCACTACAAACATGAACGAAGATACATTAAAAAAGATTATGCGTTATAGAACTGCACACGAAGTTTGGCAAGAGCTACATAGACTCTTTGATGGACAAACTGAGGACAGGGCATACAATTTGTGTCTCAAGTTTTTTGGATTTAGTCGCAGTAAGGAGGATGATATACCTACTCTAATTGCAAAATTAAAAAACATATGGAATGACTTAAAAGTCGAAATTTCAAAAATTGACACAACTGCCAAACTCCCTGAATTGTTCCTGATTTGTAAAGTTTTAAATACGCTCGATGAACGGTATTTTAACTTTAAGTCAAGTTGGCTAATGCTGAAACAGTCTGCAAAGACAATAGAAAGTTTGACGAGTAACCTCTGCTCCTTTGAAACAGATTTAGGCAGTCAAGAGAGCTCACGTCAAGAGGCACTAGTGACTACGCCTGTTGAGCGAAAAGTTAAACAAAAGACAGACGAACAGCTGATCTGCAACTATTGTTCTGGGAAAGGACATAGAGTTCGCAAGTGTAAGAAGTGGATTAAGGATGGAAGGCCACCAAAACCAACTTCAAACACGTCAGCATCTGGTTCCAAGTCTAAGCAAGTACAACATATTTCGCTAATGGTAGATGCCTGCACAAAAAGTCAGTTTCAAGACCGAAATGGCTGGTATGTTGACAGTGGAGCTACAACACACATTGCAGTGAAGAAAGATATTTACACTAGTTTTCAAAACTTTGATTCAGACCACACAATATCAACGGCAGATGGTACTACCATACCTGCATTGGGAATGGGTACTATTGAGGTAGAGTCAAATGTTAACGGAACAATAAGGCAAATAACTCTGAATGATGTGTGGTTAGTACCATCACTGACAAAGAATTTATTTTCAACTTTAGCAGCACAAGATAGGATGCAGAATAGTACATTCACGTCAACAACTAAGGAATGCAACTTAGATATTGAAGGCATAACTAGAGTTGTAGGACGTAGAGTTCCATATGGCGGTTTATACAAGTTGGACATGAAGACCATCATGCCGACAAAGTATAATTCGACAATAGAGATAAATGCTGTAACTGACTCCAATATGCTACAATTGTACCATGAACGCTTTGCTCACCAGGATAAGAGACATGTCATGCGCGTATTAAAGCGTGAGTTAGGCATACACTTGAGTCCGGATAAAGTTAAATGTGAAGGATGCATTTATGGGAAGTCACATCGGAAACCCTTTGGAACAAGGGAAAGAGCAACAACAGTTGGTGAACTTATACACACTGACATTTGCGGTCCATTTACAACCGAAAGTATCTCAAAATATAAGTACTTTGTATTATTTAAAGATGATTTTTCAAGTTATCGTTTTGTATATTTTATCAAAGAGAAGTCAGAAGTAAAGGAAAAGCTTTTGCAAATGCTTGAAGAAAGTAGAAATGCTGGGCATACTATTAAGACTTTACTAAGTGACAATGGCGGAGAATTTGATAATAAAGATATGCGAAAGATATTACAGAGATACGGCGTACAACAGCGGCTGACTATGCCTTACACGCCGGAGCAAAACAGCTGTAGTGAGCGAGAGAATCGTACTCTAGTAGAAGCTGCGAGATCAATGATGTATACTAGAAAACAAATGCCGCAAATACTATGGGCTGAGTTAATCAACACCGCTACCTATGTACTCAATAGGACAGGTCCCACTAGAGTGGAAGGCAAAGTACCTTATGAGCTATGGCATGGAAAAAAGCCCAAGATAACTCACCTAAAAATAATTGGTAGCGATTGTTATGCGCACATTCCAAAACAAAATCGCAAGAAAATGGATAAGAAAGCTATTAAAGGCATTCTTATAGGCTACGAAAATGATGACGGATATCGTGTCTATGATGGAAAGAAGACAATAAGGTCAAGAGACATTACTTTTGAAAGCGATGTTGAATTCAGGATTTCCACCTGCATGCCTAATTCTTCAGAGGGAGTACTAAGAGATACGAGTCACTTTATCGAGCAAGAGTCTAGAAATGAGGATGACGATTTTGAACATGTTCTAGAGGGAGATAGAACAGTGGTGATGGAAGACCATGTTCAAGAATCCATAATCCATGAGAACAGCGATTCTATTATCTCTAATAATGAGGATAATGATGACAACTGTAGGGATGATGTTGATGAACCACTACAAGTAGTCGAACCATTAAGTGACATGGAGCCTAGGTACAATCTAAGAGAGAGAGCGACCATACCTCATCCCAAGAAGTATCAAGACTATGTGTGCCATATAGGTACAGAGAGTTTCCCTGGTACATTTAAAGAAGCTGTTGAGAGAGAGGATAGTGCTGAATGGAAGAAGGCTATGGCAAGCGAACTCCAGTCCCTTAAAGAGAATGATGTATGGACATTGTGTGATTTACCACCCAACAGAAAACCACTTCCGTGTAAATGGGTTTTCAATATAAAGCGTAACCCAAACGGAACTATTAACAAATACAAAGCTAGGCTTGTAGTTAAAGGATTCAAGCAACGAAAGGGTATTGATTATGAACAGACCTTCAGTCCCGTTGCTCGCATGGCCACAATAAGAGCTTTGTTAAGTGTTAGTGCTAAGGAGAACTTATATTTAACACAATTTGACGTAGCGACTGCATTTCTGAATGGAAAGCTCAAAGAAGAGATCTATATGAAGCAACCAGATGGATTCAGTGACGGCACTTCAAAAGTATGTCGTTTAAATAGAAGCCTCTACGACCTTAAACAAGCACCGCGCTGTTGGAACTCTTGCTTTGAAGAGGTACTAATAGAGAAGGGTTTCATACAGAACAGTGCCGATTGTTGTCTTTTCACAAAGAAAGTGAAAGACAAGAAAATATTAATAACTCTGTATGTAGACGATGGCCTTGTCGCCACTACAGACAAAGCCCTGGCGGACCAATTCCTTAAAGAATTAGGGCAGACGCTAAAAATAACAAGCAAAGCAGCAAGCTACTATCTGGGTTTGGAAATTGCAAGGTTGAAAGATGGTTCAGTATTCATCAATCAGGAATGTTATGCTAAGAAGATTTTAGATAGGTTCCGGATGTCTGAATGCAACCCAATCTCAACACCTATCGATAGGACTTCTGAAACAGGGAAAGTTGGAGACCCTGAAGAGAAAAAGTTCCCATATCGAGAAGCTGTAGGTGCACTTGCATATCTAATGACAGGCACACGCCCTGATATAGCGTATGCAGTTGGGCTAGTTTCGAGAAAATTAGAGAATCCAACTGAAGCTGATTGGCAAAGAGTTAAACGGATATTTAGATATTTGAAAGGAACAATATCCTATGGCATAAAATATCATGGAAATGCCAAAGCCATAGTACAAGGCTATAGTGATGCAGATCATGGAGGTGATGACCTCACAGGACGCTCTACTACAGGAGTCACCTGTTTATTTGCCGGAGGTGCTGTTTCGTGGCTCAGTCAAAGACAAGCATCAGTTGCGATATCTACTACTGAGGCAGAGATTGTTGCAGCGAGCGAAGGCGCACGCGAGCTTGTGTGGATACAAAGAATATTTGACCAGCTTACAAATATGGAAGGCATACCCACACTACAAGTCGATAACGAAGCGGCTATACGCCTTGCAAATAATCCCGAGTTTCATAAGCGGACGAAACATATCCGCATAAGACACTTCTTTGTTCGAGAGACAGTGCAAGAAGGTCTAGTAGATATACAGAAGACAAGTTCTACTGACCAACTAGCTGATCTTTTGACTAAGGCAGTTCCTAGATCAAGACTCGAGAAGATTCGAGCTAACTTGGGACTGCTAGACATTTCTAACTAGCGAGGGAAAGTATTAAGGTTGAATAGCGCTAATATAAAGTCTATGACTAGAGTGGTTACTAGGGCTACCCTCCTTGTTTATTGTCACTCTCAAAAAAAACTGAAAAAGTGTATGTCATATACGTATTACATAAATTGTAAATAATAGTGTCTAAAGTGTTCGTGTCGTGTTGTGTACCTACTCGCCTGATCCCTTCCAGTGTGTAATACCCGTATCTGCTTCCGTCTCCACCGCTTACGATATTTGGATATCTGGTAAGCCACTCTAGTTATATTAGCATAAACATGTATTTTGCTAGAATGCCTGGTTATCTTTGTTGAACCGACAAAGACAGACTCGCAGCTGAATGAATCTTTGTATACCATACATCTAATTTTTGACACAGTAACTTATTTTAGTAACGTATTTTGTCCCTATTTTCAGGGTGTAGAGACAGATAAAACTTGCAGTATGGTGGAATCATTACGAAAAAATGAACGAATCAAAATGGATATGCCATCGACTATAGCTGATGGAATAGCGGTGCCCATGGTTGGGGTCAATACTTTTTATAATATCAAAGGGCTTGTAGACAAAATGGTAAATACAGATTTAATATAACAATAATAATTCAGCAAATGAAAACGACTACAGGAAGAATGAATAGTTTAATAGAATGAAAATTTAATCAAGAAGTTCTTGAATTGCGTAACCGATGTCCGATTGTTATGCTGACGTATATCCCAATATTGTTAAAATTGAGGCCTTATCGATTTTTATTTCTAGATTGTAGTAAAAGAGGATTGGGTGGCTAGAGCTATAATGCATCTCGTTGAAGAAGAGAGGTTCGTAGTAGAAGGTGCAGGGTCAGTCACAATTGCCGCTGTTATGGCTGGTCTTTTTCCTAATCTTAAGGGAAAAAAGTTAGTATCACAATATGTACGTACTGTTAAGTCTTTCACGCACACATGGTAGAATGGGGTAACGTCGTGCAGGGGTAACCAATTTACATTTTGAGTAGTACCTATAAAATTGCTTATTTTCTCTGTTATCTTATATTCTTGCCATAAATTTATCTGCCTAATAGACGTTTGTATTTGTAAAACGTTAGAAATAAGTCGCTTGTTTGATAAAATGCGCTGCTTTTATTTGCGAGGTAGGATGATAAATTGATTGCCATTAGGTGTTAAGTACGCCTCATATACTCTTTACTTATGTATGACGTGCATTAAAAATATTTAAATAAATAAAAAAATTAAAAATTCTTATTTTTACCTTATTTTAGCTATTTGCTATGTGCTGCTTACATAGGTACCCGTAAATTTCAGAGTAGTTTGCGTAATCTCTGGAGGAAACATCGACACTACGATCCTTGCTCGTGCACTCGAACGTGGGATGGCGGCAGAAGGCCGATTAGTGAAGTTCAAAGTGACTGTGAACGATAGGCCTGGTGGTATGGCTGACATGTGCGCCTTGCTTGCCGGAATTGGAGTCACATTACGAGACCTGGTACCTGAGAGAGCTTGGGTCAAAGGCGATGTTTTCAGTGTGGAGGTAGTAAAGTCAGCTGTTATATGTTATATGATAAATTCTAATTAAAACTAAATATTTGTTATATAAATTAGGATTTTAACTTGCTTCAAATGTCATATCTAATAACATTATTTATCTTATTATATTTGTACTACAGCTGAAGGTAATAGTAGAAACGAGAGGTTGGGAACACACAAAGGAATTAATCGATCAAATAAAGAAACACTACAAGGAATATTACTTTCAAGATATGAACGAACACCCGGAGAAGACTGTTGGAAATCGACGTGGACCCTGCTTAGCCCCCAATCCTGTTTGCATGCAAAAATAAACTATTATTTCTAACTACGTCAATATAAACTTGAGCCTCTTGTTTGTAATTTTTTTATAATACACATGTTTTTCATGTTGCTTTTATGTTCGAACAACTTCATAAATAAGGTTTTTTATTTATCTGTATTTTAATGAGTAGATAACTACACAATGATTACTTACCCAGTGCTAAGATTGTTGTATTTGTCTTATAGAAAGGTAGCCACCGATTACAGAGAGAAAAAAAATAGGTTAAACTTAGGTGGCCGATAAACACTATTGGTAACAATCTAGCAACACTACTATAACAATCTATTGACACAGAATCACATCGGAACAATAGTTCCGAGAAAATACGGTTTTTATTAGGTTTGTTTCGGTATAATATAGATGGCATCAATAGAAGATCATAGAATGACGAAGTCTGTTCAATTAGCTCACACACGATTTCTGTACTACGTAGTAATATAGGTTTCAAGTTGTATCACATTGTAAATATATGTAGGTGCATAGATATTTTAGTACATGTATTAATCTTTTTCTTATCTATTCCTAATTTAAGATTTTAGATATTTACTCTTAATAATTTTCTTTGTCTTTCCATCAACAGTGACATGACATCATTCAATGCAACAGACACGACGCATTCAGAAATTATAATGACAATGTAGTCCAATTAGTAATGTAATAAATCCGAATCTGAACCAGTCATATGCCAATAGGTAACTCCAAAATATTTGGGCACGGAACTCGATAAAATGCAAAAACCGACTAATACGGTACAGCTGCATCTTGAGACAAGGCCTTCATTAGGTATAGCACCTGGTGCTCTTGTTAACCGTGATAGTGCCAAAAGAAACATTTGGTGTCCGGTAGGTGTGATCTACAATTCTATTTATAATGAGAAAATAATAGTATAATATGAAAGATTTTATAAAAAAAATATGTAAATCTATTTTTTGTTTTCAGAAGCCGGAAATAGAGTTTGATAGTTGGTGTAATCCAAATAATCCTAAATTAATCACTTACAAAGAAATTTCAAAAGCAACGAATGTCCTTAGAGAACATTTTCCAGTCACTCCTCTCCTGGTTAATGATTTATTATATACATATAAGATACCTACAGTCTGTTCTATTATCATAATTTCGGCCATTCTTTTACTATTTCGTGGAAACATGGGATATCACCTCATCATATCTAGTCACAAAGACTGTTACTGACCAAAGGGCTTTTTAGCGAGTTGGATTTGTTTAGAAATGGAGTTTGGCGTTTATTACAAGCAATTTTCCTGATCATGCATCATTACCATCGTAATTAATTCCTGGTGAATACACTTCACTAGGAATAAACCAAAATCACGCTGGATTGACATCGTTATTCTAACACCCACCAGTGGTGCCCATAATCGTCTATTTAAAATTTAAGAACTTGTCTGTATTGATTACTTGATTTCTTAATAATCGATATTGGCGTCATGTAGTATTAAACATACCAAATATACTAAACTAAAAACACTCCATGTATCTAATTATCCTGAATGTATAAATAGCTTCAGTATACAGGATAAAAAGATTATCAGGGTGTATCATCATTTTATCATTGTATCATCTCCATATATGTAGTTTGTAGTTTACATAAATCTGAAATTACAATACAGTTGAATAAAAAAATATGTTGTTCCGAATTTTTTTTTCTATTATCACATTGTAAGTATTACAGGTATACTTATCAATTTCATACTCATAGGAGTATGAAATTGATAAGTATCATCACTCTAAATATCTACTTGAATTATTTTTAGAGGTCTCGGTGTTGCGTTCAATTTGGATTGGAAGTTAATTACAAATTAGAAATATTTCATCGAACTGGAAGGTATAATAAATTTATGTTACAATTATTAGTACATATTAATTATTAACATACGTCTAAAACGCTCACTATTACAGTTTCAATGAGAGAGGAGCATTATATACATTGCTAATGTTGAAGGAAAATCAACGTAAATTTGGAGTTATTACAGCATCAACAGGAAGTTGGGCTATGGTATATTTATTTATTTGGCTATGGTATGGTAAATGTATTAAATTATTTACCTTGACTTCGGCCTACCTTCACGTTATCCAATGAACGTATATTGTACCATGTTGTTGTGACGGTTAACATACCCGAAATGTAACATGTTGATTCACAGGCATTGGCATACTATGGGCATAAACTTGATATTCCTGTAACTACAGTCCTTCCATTAAACACCTTGATAAATGTGGTGGAAAAGTGTAAAGGCTATGGAGCAACTGTAATTTTGAATGGAAAAACTCTTGCCGAAGCGAAAAACCAAGCATTTATCGTACGCGCTGAAAGTGGCGCTACTTATTTAAACAGGTTAACCACGTAAACTTTCACATACCATTCTGTTTCTCTAAAATTTCTGAAATACATTATTTCCTAAATACCTCAAATTCTCTAAATTCCAGTCTGTTTAAAATGCGTGTTAAATTATTGTGTTATTTCAAGAAATTGACAACTGATAGAAGAAATAGTCTTCATAGACTCAATAGCTCTTTAACTCTTCTCAAAAAACTTATTATAGAAAGCTCTTTCTAAGAGCATCATTACGTGGTATATGAGCACGCATCACATGAGAACGTGTAGTATATATCTATCTCTCTATGCTATTCATGTATATGTCTTTATTTGCCATTTTCATGTACATAATAAAAACAAGAAAGATTAGATCTGCCTCTAATATCTTTTTACTTCTGTATCTTTAACTTTTGTTTTGTCACTGTATTAAATAGTTATTGAAATGTGCAGTTATGACCACCCATACGCAATAGCCGCTGCAGGCAGCATCGGCGTGGAAATAATGGAACAGCTGCCACAAACCGACGCAATTTTGATTCCAGTGGGGGGAGGGGGGCTACTAGCAGGTATCTCTACCGCAGTCAAGCATATAAAACCTGAAGTATTGATTTATGTATGTAAATACTTCTGTTGTGTTATATGTACTTTTATGATACTTATCTACAAATATGAGAATGAAGTTTTGTACACAGATATAAATAGGAGTATTGCTCTAAATTACACAGATATAGCGGGCACAACTAGTCAATAAACAGTCTATAATTTTACTGGTGCCTAATGAAGTACATCGTAGTTTGTAAACACAGTTATATCTTACTATTTTAGGGTATAGAACCAGAAAAATGTTGTGGTTTCTACAAAGCTATGAAAAATGAGCATCCGTATCATATTATAGCGGGTAGAAGTATTGCCGGCTCCTTAGCAATATCCACCCCAGGTCACAACGCCTTTCACACTGCAAAACCATCTATTAATAAAATGGTAAAAATTAAGTGTTTATTTTTGTTGGTGGTGGTCTCGATTTCTAGCATGTTATAAACATTTTTATTGTTCAGGGTGTTTTCTATTATATTATGTGTGTATTTACAAAAAAGTATAACAGTTGTCTAATATCGAAAGAAAAGCTATGCTTTTCGGTGTTTGTAAAATTCGGACTTTGCGTTATGTGACGTTAGGGTAGAGACCCGCGTTTTGTGGCGTTAGGCTAGAAGCCACTAAGCCATTAAGCCCTATGTTTAATAAGTAATAGTTATTAATTAATTGCCTGTGTCTAGGTATTGGTGAATGATGATTGGATATCACGCGCCGTTTTGCACTTAACAGAAGAACAGCGATTTGTAGCTGACGGCGCTGGCGCTACAAGTTTGAGCGCTTTGTTCGGTCTTCCCAATATATTACCGGAATTACGAGGCAAAACGTGAGTAACTTCATTAATTAAGTAACATTTTTTGTCAAAACTAGCAATAACAGCATACTGTAGTAGCTTATACTAGAATAAAAATATAAATAAACCAGTGAGAGATCTTTACTTTCTTTAAATTGTTTTTACAAATAAATCCAATTACAAATACGTACGTATAAGAGCTGTGGAGTCTCTCATTCGATATTTTAGAAAATTCTAGAAATGTTATACATGGTTGTAACAATAATAATTTTAATATAAGATTATTCTCATGTCAAGATATTTACAGCAAATTGCATAATTTGAATTCAATTATGTTTTTTGTTTAATACTAATTACTATATATTTTTTTTGCACATGCAATATTCGGTATATAGCCTATATTTGTTTAAGGGTGGTCTGCGTTATCAGTGGAGGAAACATCGACACCGACACCTTGCCTCGGTGCATTGAGCGTGCAAAAGCAGTGGAAGGTCGAATAATAAAAATGACCGTATGAAATTCGTATTATAATTATTGTAACGAAAAATAAAATTATATGGAGTAAACAAATTTCCTCAAGAAGTAAAGTGGAAATTTAAAATATTCTTTGAAACCTAAAGCGTTGGTTTATTATATCATGGATATTCTACCTGGTTTCCAGCTTAGTTTAATACTTGCTCTTTTAAATCAATCCCGTTTATGTAGGTGTATTTAATAGTTACTATAGCTTCAACTAACTAAATTTAGGTAACTCTGCCAGCTGACGAAACGACAGAGCAATTAAAAATTTTTAGTACAATTGCGAATTTGGGCTGTAATGTACGACAATATTATACCGAACATGCATGGCTTACTGAAAACGACTTCTATACTATTTACGTAAGATTTCTTTCATAAATATTTAATATCGAAACCAATAAATAGTATTATATTTTGAGTAGGTATATTTACTTTCTTTTTATATTTGTCTTATTATTCGTTTTTATTGTTACGCTCATGTAGTAATTTTATTTTTAGTTAACACTTACATGCGAGACACGTGATATAAAACATGCGTGTACGTTAAAACGAGTTATGGAAAGATTATTTCCCAACATGTGCCATTTTCTAGAAGAGCCTTTTAGCCCTATTCCAATATGTTCCTGCTTTGCCAAGAAACTTCCATAAATTTACAAAAGTATTATTTAAATTTATAATAAAGTATTTTCAGTAGATACCTATATTTTCTATTACTTTATGTATGCAAAATTACATTTTTATTAAATAAGCGTATATGCCATGTTTGATATTATATGTGATACTTTATTGTCATCAAAGATGTAGATGTGCCTAAGTAAATTAGACAATTCTATGCAGTACCTCTTTTATTTCACCCTATATTAATCTTAACAGAACCAAAATTGATTCTAACTAAATTACTAATCGACAATTTTACATAAAACTACGTGGAATAATGTTATTGGAGAATTGTTAATAAGAGCATGCAGTGGCATCACGATAAATTGTGATTTTAGCGTGTATTAAATTAAATTAAATGTGTATTTAGCTTTTATGATATTAAAATCAGATGATAAAGTGCATTAAAGTAATTGCATCGTCATCTCCATCCATATCTGTTTAATTTATGTCATCATGCACAAAGACATAGAAACTTCTGTATTTTACTGTCTGACTCCGGTAGGTATAATAAAAAAGTCATTGACATGACACTAAAAGAAATTATGAAGTAATATAAAACATTTATATAAATTAAACCACAAAAATATCAATACGCCTTAAATTTTATTAAATTAGATTTTTAATATCTAAATATTATCAAAATTTTACATACTAAATTAGATTTAACATTCCATTAGCTATGTCTCGACGAAACGTGAGTAAATTATTACTTTATATGTAGATATTTTTTACGAATTTTAATACATATTTGGTAGGTAACTATTGTTATCAATTGTTCATATTCTAATAAATGTACACAGGAGGATTTTGATGAATTTTGTGATCCCGAAAATCCAAAAGTAATCAAATATCAAGATATAATAGATGCCGCAAATCGAATAAGGCCTCACATTATCAACACCCCGTGCTTGGTTAGTTATTAAACTTTCATTTTTCGAAAAATCTTTTATAATTTCAAACTCTAGTTTAATAATTTATTTAGCAAATCCATGAAGCTTTCTATTTATTACATTAGAGTTTGCATTGGCTACATACTGAGCTAATGACATTTGTAATACTACTGAGGGAATTTCTAAAACAAGCGTATTTTACAATCAGAAATACGGTCACTCTTTGATCCGAGACAATTATTACCTAATATATCAGAACATATATTTTTATCGGATTTCCAGGCTTCCCATTTCCAAAAAGAATTTACTATGCACTTATATTACAAATTGGAATTCCAACAACAATCTGGAAGGTAAAACCTATACCATACATATTCTGTAATATGATCTAAACAAAATAATAGATACGTATAAATTTATAAAACTGATATCGATGCCTTTTTTAGTTTCAAGGAAAGAGGTTCATTGAATGCACTGCAGCTACTCCCTTTGGATAAGAAAAAGATAGGGGTGGTCGTAGCTTCTGTTGGTAATGAAGCCGCAGGACTCTGTTATTATGGTGCTAAAATGAATGTACCCGTAATAGTAGTAATGCCTAACTGTGTACCAATTGCTAAACTTCAAAAGTATCACAACCATGGAGCCAAGGTGATGGTTCAAGGTGGCAATCTAATGGAAGCACAGAGATACGCTCGTGCAATCGCACGAGATAAAGGATTGACTTACATAAACGGGTTTGGGATATTTATCTATGTCTGTTACAAATATGTAATTTAAAAAATCCAACGCTTTATATACCTATTTACCTACACTAATAATTTCGTTACGGAATTCATGAGATTATTACCGAGTATTGTATTTATATAGCTATTAATAATATTGTAACACGTGACTTTTTAGTGCCTTTATCAGATTTCTTTTTAATTTTAATAGAAATTATACAACACACTTTTTATCTGGCCTATGTATTCAAAATAATATTTTGAATAGCGAAAGATATTTCGAATAAGTTCTGTAGTTTCGAAGATTAGGTAAAGTAGTGGCTGTCCACATAGACACCGTCTCTCAAAAATACCACTGAATTATATGAACTCGTAGCAAATTGCTACGCCAAGACTACGCACAATAGCAATACATTTCTTAACGATAAAAGAAACAAAAACCGTTTAAATTTTTCGAAAAATTATTTCATGAATATAACGGAATTATCAGTATAAAAATTTAATAAGTTTCTGTAGCAATAATTCCGTTATTTTCTTTAGCAATAAATTAAAATACCGTTATAAATACCTACAATATCTACCTATATATATATCATTCTGTTTAATTTAGACGTGACCATCCGCATATCCTAGCCGGGTACGGTACCATAGCATTGGAGATTCTGGATCAAATGCCGTATGTGGACGCAATAATTGTACCGGTTGGCAGCGGAGGATTGGCTGCAGCAATCGCCACTGTGATCAAACATGTCAAACCTCGCTGCCTTGTCTATGTTAGAGAATAACCATTTCAATTACATTTATTTAATCTAATAATTAATAAACCAAGCACTTCTGTTACAGAAGAAATTCTATCTTTGTATTTGAAAATTAAAACAGTAAAGAAATGTTCTGGTAAAAACATGTATTTTAGCATTTTTGGGATATCATTCGTAACAATAAAAATTAAAAATAGAATTAATATGGCAGTGAGATTATTAATATGTCTAAACATGCTTTACAGGGAGTACAGACTGAAGCCATGCCGGTATTTTTTAAATCGCTTGAGGACGGTAGCCCTGTAACAGTACCAGGACAGTCAACCCTTGCCGACTCCATTGCTGTACCAAATGCTGCTGTCAACGCTTTACATAACGCTCGTCCTCTTTTAGATAAAATGGTAAACCTCAACTATTAGGTATTTAAGTAGGTGGGGTACTGAACCCTAAACTACAATCTATTTAGTGACTGTACAAAGTGATTTTGTTTAAAAAACGCCGATTTAAATATTTATAGCTGGGTACATTTATCTACTTTTACACATAATAACTGCAAAATATATACAATATATAGGTATGCAAAGTTAGTGAGCTTATCATAATTTAATTTTGAGAAACCGTTAAATATTAAATTGATTGTGTATTAATTCTATAATTATCTTCCAGTTACTTGTTAACGAGGAATGGATCGCTCGTGCGATGTTGCATTTAGTAGAAAAAGAGCGATTTGTGGTTGAAGCGGCTGGAGCATGTCCACTGGCTACAATCATTGGAAATCTTGTTCCTGAGCTCAAATTAAAAAAGTAATAAAATAAGTATCACAATACAAAACAATAGGTAGATAGTTCTGTTTTGTACTTATCAAGGATAACTATGTTGAACTGGTAGTGCATTTCAACTTTGTTAGGGCTTAATATAAATAAATAGATAGGTATAGGTATTAGTATGTTTTTTGTGAAAATATATTTTTCAAAAAATATCATAATCCATTAGAAGACGTGTAAACCGTCAGATGCAATTATCATATTTTTTATATAATTTAATAATAAAATGTTAAATTGAGAACCCTTACTTTTTGACATCGCGTATAAATAATTTCCTATGTTATACACTTGTAGCGTAGTTTGCATTCTGAGCGGCGGTAATGTCGATAACCTACTACTGGTCCGATGATCACGTTGTGGACTGTATGATTATGTATTTTAGAATATATATTACAAGTGTTAAGAGAAGTGCGTGCGGTGCCCAATGCACGGAATGGCCGAGTGAGGTGTCGCGGCAGATCGGGCTCGCTGCCGGCTCGGATGCCCCGCGGCGCCCGCAGACCCCGCAGCCGTTGGCGTAGCAATTTGCTACGAGTTCATATAATTCAGTGGTATTTTTGAGAGACGGTGTCTATGTGGACAGCCACTACTTTACCTAATCTTCGAAACTACAGAACTTATTCGAAATATCTTTCGCTATTCAAAATATTATTTTGAATACATAGGCCAGATAAAAAGTGTACAATCCTCTGTCAGTGAGTAGATATAATATAGTAGGTAACTAATAATTACATAAAATTATATCTACTCGAAAAAGTGATGAACGGACTGTGTTAAAGATGATATGGCAAGAAAGAGAATAACGAGATGACGAACAGGGATGAATAAAAAAAAACATATTACGACGACCCCAATGGAATGGAATAACGTATAAGATTATGAGGTATTTCTGTAACACATAGGTATTTATATAGATACCGTAAGTAACTGTTTCTCTTAATTATATCTAATTCTTATAAAAGTTTAAAAGATTGTGTTGATTGATTGAATACCAGTTCGTGTATAAGCCAGCGGACGGAATTAAATTAAATTTAGGTGATACCGAAAGGTTCGAATTCTCAGTTATCATGGCGACAAAGTCGAGGGTACAAACGAAGGGTACAGGCTCTAGTGTAAACATAATATTAATATGAATATTAAGTTAATATAAATAAATATTTTTTTTATTTCTAACGCAGGTGGGAATAAAAAACAACCCTATGGAAAATTCTCAGCTACTGAAGCTTCTCGCAAATGGAGGATACAACTTGGTGCGATTATTTAGAGACAATTCATGGGTTGAAGACGATACTTATAGCATTGAGGTGAATACCAAACAAATATATGGCTTTGTCAATACATTTTAGCGACAATTAAAATACTTGTATAAGATAGCAGCTGGTACCCACGATTTCGTCTGTGCTAACTTTGATCCTCCATTTCAGCCCTTTCTATTTTTCAATTATGTTTTAAAATGAAATATATCCTGACTCCTTCACCCTATCACGAAGATAAAACTATCTTCTTACCAAATTTCATTAAAATCAGGTCAGCCGTTAAGTACCTAATGAAAATGTAACTAACAGACAGATACACTTTCGCATTTATTAGTATGGATATGGATTCAATTGTGGAAGCTTGATTACGTAACGCTTTATACATCGGCCCACTACAGTGGCGAATATAAGATAATTTGTGAATTGTAACTGGCCATTAGGTATGGTAATGGAATGGCGCATCCGCCTTCGCTAACGGTTTACGCTGGCGGGGCACCAGTGAAGGATGATAAGATGAGCATGAAGTCAGGTCAATTAGCCCATCGTGACAAATTAATCAGGAATTTATCACGATGGTTTCCAGGGAAACCGCGTGGAGGTCGACCTCACATGGTACATTGCCGGCAATGGGTTCGTTAGTCCGCATTAATAACAATCCCCTTCCCCCCGGCCATTACGGTTAAATAATACTACAAAAAATATTTTTATAAGTAGCTCACATGTCGATATTTTATCGCACCCCCTTCGTATAGCCAGAAATGGGGCAGATTAATTTTTTTATTAGCAATCACTTTATATATTTTAAATCTTTTTGCTACATAAATAAATAGCTACCGAATTACAGGTTAAACTTGTTTGTGAAACACGAAACCTGGAGCATGCTTTGGAACTGAAAAGGATAATAGAGAGAGCGTATCCATGTACTTCTCTTTTTGAAACTGAGCCTTTCAATGACAAAAGAATCTGCCCATGCTATGTCAGAAACTCAGGAAGACCTGTAACTTGTAAAGTGTAATTAATATAAGTAGGTACGTGTACTAATTAAATATTTTCAATTTAAATAATTCTGGGTATGTAACTCAGTTGTTAGCATAGCAGGCGTATTATATTTGTATCCAATTAAAATTATTAGTGCTAGAAATATATATATATATATATTAGGAATTAATAAATGTTTCATTTATTTTGATGATTTTATTTTATTGTTTTGTATTACACATAGGTAATAGCACAGATAATATAATATTACATAGTAATAGGTATAGTATTATACAGAAAACAGGAACTACAAATTTCTCTGTAGATACATTCATACTTAGGTACTTTTTTCATATCCTTATATTTCAGAAAGTATTATTGTGGTTCTATCGATTTTATATCTATAGATGTATAATAATAATCCCTATTTTCTTTTTTAACGGAATCATGTATATAGGTAATGTGCGGCTGGACTCTTTTCGCTAGGGTATTAGTCTTGTTATTGTCAGGAGGTACCTAGCTACTTATATGAAAAAAATAAGAAAGTTTTGCGAATCTTTACTAAAGGGTGTTAATTTTTTTTAATGTTTGCCTACTTTCTACAATAGTCATAGTTAAGACAGGAAGTATGTCAAATCAGATAGTTTAGACTAAATTTTGATGCTCCAAACTCGATTATTGTAGTCTATTTCTTGTAGGTATATCAGCCCTGATGGTTTAGCCCATTACTTGCGGTAGTTACGGGTTCGATTCTTGCATGATGCTATTCATATAATTCTTTGTATTTATCATTGTTCTCTATCTATATTAAGTATTTACTCGGTTAAGTTAAGACAGCCTCGGTAGTTATCCTGCATTTATTTTTCAATTATTATTGAATATAGAATGTTAATAAGGGGATGTTAAAGTAATATGGTCAGAAATGCTTGAAGCATTAAGATAATAAAAATAAAATTGTAAAATAGAAAACCCAAATTATTAGCCATATATTTTCTATTTATCTACTATAAAGTTTTGCGTTTTATAAAAACAACAACATCTTAACCAATAAGTCTTAACAAATATATTACTGTGCTTTTAACAAAACATAATGTAATTTATAATAGAACTACACAATATACAAATAATCACATAAGGATAGTAATATTGTCACAATTACGTCTTAATTAATATGCTTGTACCAATGTTTCATTTGTATATTTTATCCATAAAAGTAGCCATCTTTACATCCCGTTTACTGAGACCATTCACATCATGAGATGCCAGTGTTACCTGTGAAAATTTTAATCAAAATATATTTAAGGATCCTCTTGAATAGTCTAAATTTACGAATATAATAGAATATGTGAAGTTAAAGTTAACAAACTTCAAAAAATTGCAAGAGAGACTTCAATTTGTGTATATCTCTAGACTCTAGACTCTATATAGCCTCTCATTTGGGCAGTTGTGCATCTACAGGTGTGTATAAAAGTCAACTATTTTTCTACTGTGCATGTACAAAATTCATCCATTGATTTTTCTATGCTAATACAAGTAACACATAGAGAAATCAATGGATGAATTTTGTTTCCTTCATATCATGTTCTTGCATCTAAGCATAGAAATCATGTCAGTGAACAGACTAATGTTGTGAGTAAGACCAATACTATCTGTAGTTTTCAAAACTCACCTGTAATTTATTATAAACATTGAACCATTCGGGATGATGGTCCATTTTCTCAGCTATCAGAGCCACTCTGGTCATAAAACTAAATGCTTCATTAAAGTCTTTAAACTTAAACTCTTTCTCTATTGCATCTCGCTTGTCTTGGACCTTCCATCCTGATTGAAGTAATGGTTGAAGCAAGCTATCCCGTTCTTCACCATTTAGTTTATCTGCCTGGAAATATTTCATATTTGAGTAGATTATACTAGAAAAATATACATATATGTGATACTAAAAGTATCACTACATTGTTATAAACTAAATACATATAAGATAATATATAGCTAATACTAAAATTGCACCAAATTAATTAATAGTAGTCTATATAAATTTAATACTAAACATTTGTTAGTGTATTCACCATAATGGGATTTAGTTAATTTAAATAACATTGAACTGGCTGATTATTATGATGATTTCGAAATATTTTCTCTGATAATTAAACAAATTAAGAGACACTAATAGTAGTATCTCATCCAAAAATGGAATAGCTACTTCCACGGAAAGAGTTTAAGTGCCGTTGGTTATATTCTCTTTATGAGATATACATATTAAATTTACCATTTTCCTCTTAATAGGCGAAGCTGCAGACACGCTGGCAAATGCGGCGAATGAAGTAACATTGATTGCAGTACGAGTTTGTAGCGTCGCCGCCGACCCTGTGGGGTGAAAGTGTATCGCTATCGAACCCGCCTTAAACAAAGTTTTTCTGAATGACATATTGTAGTATTTAGTTATGTTGTAGTAGATTATTGTGGTTTAAATATACTAAGTTTATTAAAAAATATTTATTCTATATATCAGTAGCAGTTGTTTAGATTTAAGTCGTGTATAAAAATTTAAAATACATTATAAAATACATTTCCATGTTTTATTTCAAAACAAAACTCAGACTGACAGATTGACAGACACAGCCAGCTGATCTTAAAAACCACAGGTTGTGTTGTGAAATGTGATTAATAGGGGACTTTTTGGCGGGAAGTCAAATAGAGCGGGTGTTTTAAATATTTTTCCTTTATTTTATATTTTATTTATATTCAATAATTTGTATATATAGGTACAACTAACATAATTTGTAGTTAATTACAGTCCTAAAATGGGAAGTAAGCGCAAAAAGCGCAAAGCCGATGATAATTGCTCCCCAGAAAATTCGAGGGATGTCGACAGTCCCGATTCTGACTCCTCAATGGATGAGGATAAGTATAAAGTTTTTAAAATCGATAATTACTGTCGCCAATATCCTGAGGATGGAGGAAATTTTGAATATATAGTTATTTATGAAAGTACCGATACGAGGCCTTTAGGCGACAGAGACCTTATGTCCCTTGGCGCCTGTCTTAAGCGCCAAAGCAAGGGTATAAAACGTTTCAAGAGAATTAATAAATATAAAGTTGGAGCCATTTTTGAAAGGCCAGAAAGTACAAAAAGATTTACATGTTAAAGCCACAATACCTGCAACATTAACAGAAATAACAGGGGTCATAAAAAACGTACCTATATACATGTCAAACAAAAGTATTTACAATGGTATTTCCAGCTCCAGAGACGTCGTCTCGGTGCGCCGGTTTATGCGAAGAAGTCGTGATGAAGACGGTAACACAAGTTTTCTGCCCACCCAATCAGTCGCCATTACCTTTGCCTGTCCCACACTCCCTACGAATGTCGATATCAACTCATGGTATTTCGAGGTAAGCGCTTACACCCCACCAGTAACACAATGTTTAAAGTGCCTGAGATATGGCCACATTGGTAAATTTTGCAAAATACTCAACGTTGCTCAATATGTGGAGAAAACCATCATTTTAAAGATTGCACTAAAAATAGCACAGAAGCTGTATGTCTTCACTGTAATGGTAACCATATAGCTATCTCAGCTGAATGCCCAATTAAAAAGAAGAAAATACAAGAAAACAAAATAAAACACAAGACTGTTCCTTTCTCTAGTTTATTTAATGAAAAATCTTTTCCATCTTTAAACACTAAAACTAAACCTACTGACAATATTAACACATTATTGCAAAATGATGACTTTTTAAAACTAATCATTGCATCAGTTATTAAAATTATTTCTGTTAATAAAACAGATGACTCTCCCTTAAACTCAGAAGGCATAAAAAACATAATTTTAGATACTTTTAAGATTTCCAGTACTAACACTAATTAATAGTATCTCTTTAATGGATAATATTTTAAATATTATCGAGTGGAATGCCCAGAGCTTGATAAATAATAGACTTGCTTTTACTTATTTTTTATATAACAACAATATACATATCGCCCTTCTTTCTGAAACTTGGCTAAAGCCTTTCAAAAACTTTAATATCAAAGGTTACAATATAGAAAGATTAGACATTGGTAATAATCATAATGGTGTAGCCATTCTAATACAAAACAAATTGAATTATGACAGATTAAATACATATCACGATGATTCTTTGCAAAATATCGCTTTAAAATTATATTTGAAAAATGAAACAATTTCTTTTGTTAGTTTTTACAGCCCTACATCCGCAACGTCACGTAACTTTACACATTTACATTTAGATAACTTATTTAAATCTATCCCGTCACCTATGATAATAGCGGGTGACTTTAACGCCCACAATACCACTTGGGGTTGCTCTAGAACCGATTCTAGAGGCACTATTCTTCTTAATACTATTGAAGACAATGATCTTTGTATAATTAATAATGGTCAACCCACTACTGTAGGCTCTGATATATGGAGTCCAAGTGCTCTGGATCTTACAATTGTTTCTGCCTCTCTGTCACTCCGATGCAATTGGTCTGTACATGATAATCCTTTATGGAGCTATCATCTTCCAACCATCACCCACCTTTTATGTAACACTGTAAATACAAATAACATTTCCATTAATCATAGTAATTTTTTTAGGCCAAATTACAATAATGTAAACTGGCTTGTATACCAAGAGACTGTTGATAATAAATTATGTAATGAATTTAATTACGATCCTTCCACCCCTTTAGACTCCTATAAACAAATGTGCAATATTTTAATAGAAAGCATTAACACAGCTAATAATTCACATGGAAATTTAAAACATTCTTTAGTCTGTAATCACAAGACAAGACTTTCTTTGCCATGGTGGAACAATACTTGTTCTCAAGCAATAGAATTATGTAAGAAAACTTACATAGATTTTAAAAATAATCCCAATCAAGAAAATTACATAAGATTTAAAAGACAACAGGCAATCAAAAAACTTACTCTCAAAAACGAAAGAAATGCCAGCTGGTTAAAATTCTGTGAGTCGTTCAATCGGCAAACTCCTCTATCAGTTATCTGGAATAAAATGAAAAAATTTAATAAAACATTTAATAACAACTGTTCACTTATATCTTCAGACACTGATTGGATTTCTCCTTTCTTAAGTAAATTTACATCCAAACCATCAACTAAAAGTAGACCCAACATACAGGTATCA